TTTTTTTTTTTTTTTTTTTTTTGAAAGAAGCCTCTTATGCTCACCATGGCTGCTTTTGTTTGATCAAAAATACAGTAAAAACAGTAATATTGTGAAATATTATTACAAATTAAAATCACTGTTTTCTCATTTAATTTCTTTTCAAATGTAATTTATTCCTGTAATGCAAAGCTGAATTTTTAGCAGTCATTACTCCAGTCTTCAATGTCACATGACCTTTCAGAAATCATATTAATATGCTGATTTGGTGGTCAAGAAACATTTCTGCTTAATATTTTTGCTGCTTAATATTTTTGTTCAGGTTTTAGTTTTTTGATGAATAGAATGTTTAAAAATAAAATTAAAACGTAATTGAAATAGAAATCTATATTATAAGTGTATTAACTGTCACTATTGATCAATTTAATGTGTCCTTCCTGAATAAGAGCTTTAATATCATTAAAATTTTTGAACATTAGTGTATATTAGCTTACATCGTTTACTAGGGCCTTTTATAGTCATCAGGCTGTTGTGATTCAAGAGGCAATGACTGGTAAAATGACTAATGTGTGATTTACCTGAAAGGAGATAGGAGTCCCTATATTCCCTAGTACTAAAACTAGAATTTTTTTTTCTTGTAGATTTAGGTTTATGAAGCAACTTTTTATAACCATAAATTGTTAACAGTACCTCTGTTATCACATCCATTCCAAACCTTAAAATAATCATGAGCTATAAAGCTGCTTCCTCAGAGGCAGGTGAGAGTCACATGAATCTTTAATCATTCTGGGCTTTCTTTAGGGAGTTGTCTTGTTCGTTCTGGTGAGGTCTGTTCGTTTCTACCTTCATTTTGCTCTCAGCTTCATGAAGGGCAGTGGTCAAAGTGTCCATTGTTTCCTCTCTTAGAAATTTGCTATAATGTTTTGTAAATCTGAAATGACAACACTATATTTAGACGTACCTGTGCATGTACATGATTTTAAGACAAATTCGGATGTGTTTTTAGGGACATCACCTTAACACCATCAGCATTCTTACTTCAGGCTTCTTTAAATCAACTCAAAGTTAAAATGAAGTGGGAAATAAACAAAGAAAACTCTATTTTATAATTTTCCCCATGTTGTTGTACGAGACTGTGCCTTACTGTGTAATTTACAGACCGGTATTGAGTCTCAATCGTAATTGCTATATCAAACACGCACAATGACATTTGCCTTTGCCTCCATTTGCATTTAAATGGCTCTTGGTTCACTGTAACTCAAAATGGAGGACGGAGGCATAGCGTTCCAGAAAAATTATGGTCTGACATTTTGCTGTAGCTGGGAAAAAGGCATCTGTATTTGTGTAATTTAAGCACAATACCCAAACATTTTTCCTAATGCAAAAACGCTGACGTTGAGCAGATTTGGCATTTTAATGTAGAAAGAAAATGCATTTACCTGCCACAGACTCACCTTTCATGATTTCTTTGTCAGACAAAAGGAAGCTCTTTATTTGCAGATAATGAGCTCTGCTGTTGATGATGGTTACATTTTTAACCATTTTACAGGAAGGAAAGAAAGACAAGACACTTATTCTCTCTCTCTTTTTCAGAGTGATAGATCATGGCGAGGTGAACAGGATGACTACCCAGAGCGTGGCTATCGTGTTCGGCCCAACCCTGCTGCGGCCGGAGATCGAGACGGGCAATATGGCGGTTCATATGGTCTATCAGAACCAGATTGTAGAACTCATCCTTCTAGAGTATGAGAACATTTTTGGCAGGTAGAACATCTCTAAGTGAGAATCGATACAGAGAACACAATGCCAGAAGTTTAATATCTCATATCCATCACACAAAAACACACCACCACTGTGGGCCAAGCTTAATAGAGTATATAAACAAAGTGAGTGGACTTACTGTGACATATGACTGGATACACGCGAAGAAAATTAATACAGAAAGGTTCTTTATGCACTTAATATTTTTTGAACTTTTGAGGATTTTTCCATTTGGATCGTCATTCCGTGGCTTAGAATAATCTTGATGGATTTTTGGACAATTATGGATGGTCATTAGTCTCCATTATGCACTTTTTTTTTTTTTTTTTGAGGAATGGGAATATTTTCCTAAGTTGAACACTGGAATGGACTTTATCTTGGCCAGTATTGACGACTAGAATGAAAACTGACTGAGCGGACACTTTCAAGTCTCACCAGATTGAGTTCTTTGCAGTGAAATGTTTAAAAGTAAAACTGATTTTGGGGTTTGATTTATTCAGACACGTAACTGACTTGTATCTGGGCTCTCGAGGGCTCAGAGTTTTTGTTTTCTTCATTTTTTCCTGTGGAATAAGCTGAAAGTGCACTGTATTAGGAGACAGTATTATTTGAGAATGACTACTGACCTGCGGATAATGGGGTCGATTGAATTGGACAATGATTAATAGTCAGTATTAGGACAGGAACCCTGTTTCAAATTGGATAGACTCTGAAAAATATTTTTTTTGTTTTCTCCATATCCACCCATGTTTGCCCTCCATCCACACCTCACAAAAAGTTTACTGGAAAGGCTGTGCGCCTTTTCCTTTAGGACTTCATGCTACTGGATAACAGACATGTTCATCAATGGAGAAACTTCCTTTTAATGAGATATGACCCTCCCTTTAATGAAATATCAGGACTTCCACGTGCTTGAGGTCAAAACTGTGTTGTTTCCTTAAAATAAATGGACTGTGTTTTGCTGAATTGTGTAACAGTATGCAGAGAACCAGATTGTTTTCCAGATGTGAACCCAATGTGTTGTGTTGTTTAAAAGCAAGAGCTCTCAAGAAGAGTCACAGATCTCGTCTCTCGCCCTTGTATCTCTCGAGGCTGACTGGAAAAAGAAAGGTGAGCTGCTTAGATCGACATTTAGGCCTTACACGGTTTCAGATCAATACAGAATATTCATCTCCTGTTTCCTGCTCTGCCCCTCGATGGAAAGGAGCTTGATAACAAATTGACAGGATGGTACTGGAAATAGTACTGCAGTTGTTAACTGAAGGTACGCATGGTAAACGCTATCTCCGTCTCATTTTTAACAAAATAAAAAAAAAAACATGTACAGATTACTTCAACAAAAACTTGAACCTGTTGTACAAAAAAAAAAAAAAAACAATAATGAAGTGTGATGGCTTGAAGTTGTGTGTCAATAACAAGTGAAAAGATCTAATTTTGTTGATGTACGGATGAAGGAAATGAGTATTAGTTGGGACGGGGGAGGGGTGATGTCATCACGCATTGTGAACTGCACATTTTGAATGTAATTTTCAGACTAACTGCTGTTTCTGAAATTGACGTCTAATCCTATTTAAAAAAACAAAAACTCATGGATAATATTAAAATGATAATGCCTGAGTTATTAGTCTAGTGTGTCGCCATTCATCTCAATATTGCAGGAACTGATTATATGGAATGACGCGGGGAACTATCAACCCTTTCCTGCCTTTTAATACAATGATTTAAAATAAAAAAAAATAAATCCTGTTTATTTGAGCAGATTGTGCAGCACTTTTCTGTATTTTTAAACATTTATTCAGTAGCTTCATTAAAACCCTCAAGTAATTAGTTTTGATTCAAATCACCCTTTAGCAAAATATTCATTTCCTTAAAACTTAAATTTATGGTTTTAGGTTAGCTTTATATAACCCACTCTGTTTTTCTAGACCGGAATCTATGAAAAAGTGACATGGAAAATGACAGAATAGTGATTGGGTGGACATCAAATCAAACTCCTACTTGAAACCAGGAGCTGTACAACCTAAAACGAGCAAGACTTTCCAAATGAGAAAACAATTAGCTCATATCCATAATTCATAGCTCTGACCACACTCTGCAGCAGTCAGGGCCCCAGAGGTGTCTGAATTGCACACCATATGCTGCTGCGTGTCTGTGGGGCAGAGGTGCCAGGAAAGCCCCTGGTCTTGTGTGTCCGTGGAGGCCAAAGTGTGGTGAAGAAATCTGATCAAGCCATTATGACCCATAAAACATTCATGACTTTGACTCTTTTCTCTCTCTCTCTCTCTCTCTCTCTCTCTCTCTCTCTCTCTCTATGTGTCTGTC